ACAAAAAACTCCAAGTCAGCTCACAAAAACTTTTATATTAATGGTGGATAAAAATAATAACATCTGTGAAAGTCAAACGAATCAAAAACAACATAAATATATTAAATGTTAAAAGTTTAAAAGTAGACATAATTTGAGAATTTGATTGTTTTTATGAAAAAAAAATTATTAACGAAACTTTTGCAAAACACGTCCTGTTAACAGGTTACATTATCAACATTAGACATAATTAAGAATTTAACATGAAATATCCCACACAAACACACGCATAAACATACGTAAGCATGAACTATCACCATCGTCAGTGTTGAGTTTAAAGAAACTGTTTTTTGGCTATTCAAATCTCCCGGTATTTTTCATTCTGCAAATATACTTATGTATACTGACATAATTATCAAGGTCACCAAGTTATGTTTTTCATAAAAATTGTCGAAGATGAAAGTTTAAGTCGAGAGTGGTAGAATATTTGGTAAAGATAAAAAGAATCGATAGTAAGTACTGTGCAACAATATTTGGCTGGAAAGAAAATTTTGAGTCCTAAATAAAAACTTACAAACTAAAAATTAAAATGAAAGAAGTACAAAAAGACTAAAAAACTAATCGATGATGAAAAACGCTTGTTAGTGGAACACGATGAAAAAGATTTCAAATGAAGACTAAAAACTGAAATTTAACATTGAAAAAAGAAAGAACAGCAGGGATTATACAACACGCTGAAACGGTACAAAAATACGTTTGAAAGGTCGAATGTTGGTGGATTGCTTTTTACATAGCTTGAATACTTAAGAAAAAAAGAAATGAAAATATATTATTAAAAGTAGGCTGAGAACCTTAATCTAAAGAAAATAGAAAAAAATACTTGGTGGAAAGTAAGATGACCAAGCAGTGTAATGAAAGACAGATAATATCTATCGCTAGTGGCTAGCTACAAAATTCAGCATCTCAAAACATGAAAATTGTGTTAGCCACAACGAAAAAGAATATTTAAATATGAAAAGATCAGACAGAAAAACTAAAGCAAAAATTTTAAAAAGATCCACGCACTACGGCCTCACACCAATTTATCAGAATATATTAGAGAAATTCGAGTCGAGTGAACGTGGATGAAAATTTTTCGAAAGCAACAAGTAATTACGATTTACGCTACAAAATAATTTAATAACCGTGAAGAAATAATTAAAAACAAAACGTTGGAACCATAAAAACCACATCTGGCAACCTGACATCACATCGAAGCAACAAACTACGCAAGACTCTTTCGCGTGCATCTAACCGATGAAGTCAAAGAATATTTAAATTAATTGAAAAGGCTGTCGCGTTGTTGTTTTATTTTTCGTCGTATGGGACTTCTAAATAACTTTAAGAATGATTTAGCGACCCGCATGCACACTGCAGTTAAAATCTAACAACGGTGAAGATAAAAAAACATGAAACGTGGAATATATGAAAAATGAATATACATATTGTATAGAGAAATATAGACACATGTTGAAGTACACGGAGCTGACAAAAAATTAGTTACAATGCAAATGCAATATAAATGTTAAAAGCTTACGATAGATGTGTAACGGCAAAATGCATGCAGAAGTATGGGGGAATTTAAAAAAAATGAATTCAACATGCACTTATGAAAAGCGCAACAACTGCACAACATTCATTTATAAAAATGTTCATCTCATTGCTTAAACAATATTCTGAAAAATATCGGGAAAAAATTAAAATGTGTCGAGAAATACAAAGACATCATAGCTTTAACATGGCAGCGACCAATCACAGAGATAAAAGATCGGTTATGATAGTTAAATAAAGCACTTGCTTTCAAAGTTTGGTCGTCTCGTACAAATTTTTGTATCATAACATCACAGACAAATTAGATGGTTATAATGTCCAATGTACGGTAAACGAAATTGTACATGAATCTTAATAACCTCAAGGCAGGTTATTTAAATAAGGACCTGCGAAGATTAACAGACTTACAAATAAAGTTTTGAGTCAAATTTTCATTGTAACTCTTCAATAAGTTTCTTCATAGTGCGAGCCGGGTAGGCCTGTGTAATGCAGGGACCTCTTCAGGAGGAATTTGTAAAGATTTGAAAACCTTACTAAGCAATGATATTTTGTGACTTCGTAATGATGCAGAAAGGAATTATGACAAAAATGGCGTAGAGATACAAAAATGCATTTAAAATAAATTTTTAGAGAAAATTTTGAATATTTAAAAAGAAAAAAATAAATCTACAAATTAACGTACAAAAAATGGTAATGTATCAACGTCATGTGAATGTTTAGTTAAGTTTGGAGAAATTTTATACAAACAAATAAAAATGGATGCACGCAGAGGATTCAGTTCTGTGAGAAAAAGTACAACTTGCATTGGAATCCATCCAGCTGTTGGTCAATGAATGTAACGAATGTCAATGAATATGTACAACAAAAGACGACATAACTTGATGAAGGAATGGTTACAACATATAAATCAATGTCCAAGAAATAATCAAAATGCAAAAATAACAAAAGAGCGACGGCAACAAATTGCACATCAAGGTCGATGCAAACGTAAAACATTTTCAAGAACATTCATTCAAATGACCAAAAAAAAACATTTCAATGATCAGACATATTATTAAACGTTAATAAAATATTTAAAAAGAATCACAATTCTGGATGTTAACGCATAAGGATATTTGAATATTAAGCAGGAAAACAAAAAAGAATGGTACATTGTGAGGCTATAATCTTCATTATATTACATAAGATGATGGGAGCTCATTGAATAAGATGCGTCATTATTATTATTAATAGCACTAGAAACCATTCTGACAGTTATCAAAACCGATGAACAATAAGAAAACATTAACGACAATACATCATATAATGTCCTCACCATTTCATTGCTTAACTTTAATGTCATTATTATCGTCATTTGGTTCAATAACATTCTCCTTTCTATTTTCAACCTAATCATCATCAGCAGCAGCCCCACTCATCCCGTCATTCTCACCATCATCATCTATGGGCCCCAATCTATTGTTTCCTCTCGCTGGAAGCTGTTCCAACGCATTGAAATCCAGAGCAGGTGGCAACGATTGTGATTGGTCCATACCATCTACCGCTAGCCAATCACGTATCTCTTCAAACGAAGGCCTAGGTGTTTGTATTTTGCATATTATGCACGAAACAAATATATTACACGTATATATATATATATATATAAATATATATATATATATTATTATATATGTTGGTAATAGAACATAATTTTTACAATATTCTATAAATTCTACTGAATGTTTGGCGTTAATATGTTTGTAGTTCGTTTTTTCAATTTTTCTCACTAAAGTTTTTTGGTGAACGTTTAGTAATAGTAATAATTTTAATAAACTAAACGTTCACCAAAAAACTAGCAGCAAGTCACACTATAAAAACAGCCAAGTATGAAGAGCTTGTTGGTGAAATAAAACAATGTGGGTTAAGGTGTTTGTTGTACGCAGTTGAGGTTGGTGCAAGAGGTGTTGTTGGTGTTCAATGTACAGCTTTTTGAAGAATTTGGGTTTGGGTTTGGGTTAGGGTTTTCAACAATCCCAAATTCGGTTCAACGTGTTACTTGGCTCGTCTATATATAACTCACATGGTGATATGTTGATAGGTAAACTTTCTGGCACGCCTGCACAATTTTACAGAAGGAGGTAATTCAAAGCGAGACAAATTGTTTGTTCAGCGAAAGACATCCAACTGATCACTGGATGTGGCCTGTTTCTCGAGAGTGTCAGGAAGTTAAAGGGCCGAAACACTCGTTGACGGAAATTCTTCCTCTGAAGACTCTCGCTGAACGCTCGTTTTGTTTGAGTTTATGTAGATTTCTACACACACACACACACACACACACACACACACACACACATATATATATATCGTAAAATAAAACACTTTTACGTGTTTTCATTATCGATAAATATAACACATTTTACGTGTTTCTAAATTTATTGGTAGGAAGAATTCCAATTGCCCGTTGTTGAATACTTATTATCGGATGTTTGATTCGGCTAGTCGTAAATTATAATGGTTGTTATTGTAATGTATGATTTCAACATTGTGGTACAGGATTTGTCTAGTAATTTTAGTTTTGTGTTTCTCTTTCATGTGATTTTTTATAGCGCCAGTTTGTACGTGCATCGTGAGTTTTCTCGATAACTTTGTTGTCGTCATACCAATATATTCAGAATTACTGTGCCCACACTCACCAATATTACATTTGAACAAATATATTACATGGCTATGATCCATTATCAATTCTGGTTTATTAGCGCAGTTGTTTTTTATCATAAAGATGACGTTCTTTGGTTGGAGTAGTATATTCGTAGTTTAATACTATCATTCTCGTTGATTGCTTGGACGTTATTTTTTTATGATTCTTTTCATAATTTTTTCGTCCTGTTCGAAAGCTTTTGACATATAATTCTTATAATATATTACTATGTTATTTTTGTTACTATTGTTGGTAGCACTGTTGTTGTTGCTGATTTTTTGTTCTTTGCGTTCTATTATTTTCTGGGTCATGAAATTTTTATTAAAGTTATTAAATTTACTTTATTGGTTTTCTGTTTTAATTAAATAATTTATATAAATTAATAATTACTTGTTCCTTTATATCAAATATCTTACATACCTTATATATAATGCACTGAAGATGAGTTATTTATAACTCGAAATAGCTATTTGCAAATTTATTTAATAAAAATTTTTTAAAAAAACAATAAAATGTCTAATTTCTCGGAAATTAATAAATTAAAAAGAAATATGAAAAAGTTGAACAATGTTGAAAGTAGTGTTGAATTTTTGAAATGTTGCGTTAACAATAGTCTGTTACCAAAATATATATATATATATATATATATATATATATATATATATATATATATATAAACTTAATTGTTTGTTGAAATTCTAATAAATAGTAATTTGTAATTATAACGTGTACTCAGAAGTCTCAAAAAAAATTTTTAAAATGAAAAGTTCAATAAAATCACTAACCTCTGATCTGAATCAATTTGTGAAGACAAGACTGCAATGTTGAAAAAATACTTCGGGCAACCGGCACCGAACTTCTTCCAAAATGCTTCAACATTGAGACCAAATTGTGAGGTGCGAGGAAGGAGGTCGGGATCGGCATAAACTCGACCGATGATCTGAAGGTGCAAGATTGTATGTATCACTAAATTAATATATATCTGAAATTTGATATAACGTGAATGTCACTTGGTTGGAGGAAATAGTCGAATAAAGAATACAAATTGATAAAAAAATCTCAATAAATATATGTTTTGGTTGATTATACTTAATTAAAAAAAATACTATTTGATATCATCACCATCACCTACTTCACAGCAGACGATACCAAATGAGAAGACATCAACTTTTTCATCATAACTAAGTCCTTTCATCATCTCCGGGGCCATCCAAAATGGATTTCCAACAACTGTGTACCTGAGTGGTTGGTGTTCGTTGCAGCAAGTCAACATACAATACATTCTTGTTTTCAATTTTTTGCATGTCAGATGACGGTGTAATGGCCTAGGTGCCAGGTCCTGATAATCAGGGAACTGGATTCGAATGTGCATAATGTGTGTGTGTGTATGTATGTCTGTGTGTGTGTGTGGTGTGTGTATTTGTGTGTGTGTGTGTATTTGTGTGTGTGTGTTTTATCGCTGTACATTCGTAAATTTTTGCATATTATCTGACCAGACCAGTTAAAAAACATAATTAGCAACCTTCTTCTAGATCTTTTACTCTCACCACATTTTCTTTTATTTATCTTTTTGTTAATCACACTAGCAGATTTCTTAAAATTCATTTGGTTCTTTTGTGATTCCCCATTGAAATCGCTACAGCAAATTTTGGAGATAGTGCTGTTGTTAATTTTAGCGATACCAATGTTGTTCTTTGTGTTGTCACTGTTGTCATCCAAACAAGAATTGCCAAAGCTAGTGTTGTTGAGGCAGTCACTGGAGTCACAATTGACAGTACTGACAACAGTGTTGGATCTGCCGTTCTGATTAAGAAATTCATCGGCGTATGAACTGAATGGCGATGAGAAGGACTCCGATGATGAGCACGATAAATAACAGTTGGTGCTCGGTGATGGTGTGGGAAAATCAAAACATGTTGATGTTCTGTTGTCGTTCGAAGGTGTTGAATGATGGTTAACACGAGTAGCTGCTGATGTGGTTGGACTTGCTGTGGAGAGCGTGCTTGAATCATCTAGGTCCATATTGCGTAACGGCGATGTTGTTGTAGTTGCTAACGGTGATGTGGTGCTTGGTGTTGTACGAGGCCTCAGTTTTGGAATGACTCTAGCAAGTCCGAAATCAGCAACAACAACTGTTCCATCCTAAAGGAAATCGTAGATGAATAAACTGAACACATTGCCAGTGAATGACACATTATTTGTGATTGATTTTTTAAATTAGATAATTCACCAATTTTTTTAAATGTAAGATAATAAAAAGGGATAAAAACTTCTTTCAGCAAGCAGTTCTGTGAGTTGAGATCTCTGTGAATAATGTTCTTCGAATGTAAATATGCCTGTGAAAATATTATGACAAAAATTAATGATGATAATAACTTTTTATTGTTTTCAAACGAAAATCTTTTTATGTTTTTTATGTTTGGTTTTATTTAAATACTCGATATCAGTATATATTATTGCTTTAATTATTATTTCTGTTTTGTTTTATTTATTATTTTTTTCAAGTAAAAGTTGATTGGATGTACAGCACGACACCAGCCCATGGCACCCACCCACCATGCCAGCAGAAATGTGATAGGCCATTCTGATTCTCAAGGGCCAAGGGAGGTCCACTGAAGAATCTTGTATGCGAGATTTCAACGTTCCTCCAGATATGTACTCTGATATTGTGTACGTGGTGGTGTTCAATCAATTGATCATATGGATATTTGTTTGTTTTACATTATTGTGTTATTAAAAAACTAAAAAATTTACGATAGTTAATTATGAATAGGTATACAAATATATAAGAATGATCACGAATTAGTGAAACAATAACAAACCTTTTTGTTATAATTTTACGATCATCATCATTACTGACATTAATTAATTAATTCATTCATTCATTCATTCATTCATTCATTCATTCATTAAATAAAAATCGCACGACAGTCGTTAATTAATTCAATGATAATTTAATTTTATGCTTTAAAAACATGTAAATCTCAAGAAGATGTTATTATGATGGGTAACCTGAATGCAAAAGTTGATTCAGAAAAAAATACATAACGTTGTTGGTTCTCGTGGAAAAGGTGAAAGTAATGGAAGAGGAGAAAAGTTGATTGAATGGTGTGTCGCAAATAATCAAATTATAACCAGCACCTGGTTTGACAATCACCCAAGGCGAAAATATACTTGAAAGAATTCCGGAGACAAAATAAGAAATATGATTGATTACATGACAGTAAATAGACGATTTCGAAATGCTGTTTTACAATGCAAAAGTTTTCCTGGAGCTGATTGTGGCAGTGATCATAACCCAGTTGTTTGTAAAATCAGGATAAAGTTAAAGGAAATCAAGAGTGAAGTAGCCCCAAAACGTTTGAATTTTGTCAGCCTGTCATAAAACGATGAGATCAAGGTCAGGTATAACGTTGAAGTACGGAATCGTATTCATTTATTGACGGAAGACGTAAACAAATCTAAATACGAAATATTTACAGATGACCTCACATCAGCAAAGAAAGTTATACCTGTGAAAGAGCAAAGAAGAGGTCAAAAATGGATAACAGATGACTGTATCTCTTATGAATGAACGAAGGGAAGTGAAAGACTGCGCTCTTGATAGATGCAAAAAGCTGGACAAAACAATCAAAAAAATGTGCTTAAAGGCAAAAGAGAAATGGTTAAATGACAAGTGCAAAATCATTGAAAAGATAAAAAAAAGTAATACAAATGCAATGTATGAAAACATCAAAAAAATAACTGGGAAAAGGGTTTGTACCGTTTCTGGATGCATAAAAGCGTAATCCGGTAAAGTAATCTTAGAGAAAGAAAAAGTACTTGAAAGATGGACTGAATATATTAACGATCCGTTGTGAAAAGCCTCTTATAAAAAAGACGTAGAAGAATCAAAGATACTTAGATCTAAAGTTCTTGCAGCTCTTTCCAAAAGGAAACGAAATAAAGCTCCTGGACAATTCCTATAGAAATAGAAAAAAGGATTAATGCTGCTGAGATGTGGTTTTTGAAAAGAATTATGTAAATTAGTAGGACCACTCATACCTCCAATGAGGATGTATTAAAACAGTCCGGTTATAAAAAAAAAGAAAAAGAAATTACTACAAATAATCCGACGAGGCAGTTAAAATTTTTTGGTCATGTCATGCGGAAGAAAGGAATGGAAAATCTAACAACAACTGGAAACATTGCAGGAGAAGAGATCGCGTTCAACAAAAAATTATATTCGTGAAGTCCTTGCATCACTTGTTGAATATCACCACATTTCAACAGCTACAAAGTGTTAAAGATCGAGTTTTGTGGAGGTCGATGGTCGCCTGTGTCCTGAAAAGATAAGGCATGATAAAGAAGAAAAAGATCATTTAACAACAAAAATTTTATAAAAAGTAGAACAACAAAATCAATATTTACTATATAAAAAGAAAATAACACAACTGATATACCCATCGATACAAATGCAATAACTGTTAATGATTACCACCATCAGAACGATAAAATCTTAATATAATAATAATAAAATTAACAAAAACAACAAAATGCAGCAGCAGAAAGAGTAAAAAATAACGAACCAGTTACGATGTTCAGCTTTTTGCCTTTGTACAAAACTCCAATGAATTTTAGAAGATTCGGGTGCTCAAGACTTCTCAAGACCGATACCTAAGTAGTTGAAATCCTCTCTTTGTCATTCATTTATTCACACATTCATTCATTCATCCATCCATCCATTCATCCTTCCAATAACTTTAGATGTATTTAATGCTTCCGGCAAATCATAAATCTGATACAAACTTCTCGAAAGGACGTGGCAAAAGTATGTGATTAAATTAGGTATAAGGTGTCTCAATATAAGATAATATAAAATATAAATAAATAAATGTATAAATATATATAAATATACATGCATACATTGTTGGTCGTTCAGTTGCAATTGACTTATTCATCGTTTTTCTTAAGTTTTGATGAGTTTTTTGGTGTTAATTATTGATTTATGATTCATTACAAAGATAAATTTTATAACCGCTGGAATGATCAAATTGCGCTAAAGTCGTAAATGTGATTTATGTGGCTACTTGGATTAGTTTAGTGTTTCTATTACTGTTGGCATTCGAATAAACGTTCAACCAAGTTTGCGTTTGTGTACATCTGTTTGGGATGCGTGAACGTGATGGTAACTATAAACAATTTTTGCCAAAATTATCCATAGATGACGTGGCAATTCCACAAGCGGCAATTGACGATGGTTTGTAATATCTAGGCAAAGTGTACAATTTTGGATGTACGAATAACACACTAAAAAAACAATTTACTCACCAAATTGTCAGACATGTTAAAGATAATCGATCTAAACGTTAGACCTCAACATAAACTTCGGATTTTAAAAAACTTCACACTGTGTCAGCTAAGGTTTGATCTACGCTCAAGCTACATATCCCTTACATGGATTTCAAACAATTTGGATAACAAAATAATTGAAGCAGTCAGAAATTGGTTTTCCATTCTTATTAATGATTGCAAGACTTGGTAGGAACAACATAAAATAATTGAAAGACTCCACTGAAACGAAAAAAATAAAACAAAGTTGCAGCTTTGGCTCGATATATTAATACAAAAAGACATAATAAAATTTTAACGTTAATTGTTAATTTTTAAAAACTTCATAAAAGATCAGATTGCGTTATTTAAACTGAAGTAAACATTGAAGACATACATCTGACATCAATTATATTTGAATCACTACGTCCCCGACATTGTCATCGTACAGGGAAACACCATCGAGGTTCTTGAACTCTATGTTTGCCATGAAATCAATTTGGCCAATACAAAGGCTTACAAGAACAACAAATATAAAGGCACTCTTAAAGCAAACCTTAATGATAGCTCCAAACAATGTAATCTAATTACAAAAACTTTTGAAATATCACCAATAAGTCTTTTTAATAAATTCAATTTGCATTCTTTCAATATTTCATGGATATTTCAAAAATAGTATTTATTATACGGTAAAGTATAATAAGATGGCTGTTATTAGGCCCACTAATTATTACATTTATTTTATTAATTGATTTGATAATAAAACTTGTCTTTTATTATTTTACACTCTATTTTAGATGATCTAATTTATAGTTTTTAGTAGAAACCAACTATATTTTTATACGGTTGGTATTTAACACAAACAATTTAACTTTGTCAGCATCATATAATATATACTGTGAAAGGAACATATCTGAGTTGATTTGTGCTTTTTTAAACTCTTTATACTTGTCCTTAACAATGAGTAAAGAGTTTTATTAATCGTTATCATTAACAACGACATATTATTATTATTATCATATAAATGTTATAAAAATTTATTACTTTATCACTTTTAACATTTCATTAACTCTATAATATTAATTTTATTATTGACAATTGACATTATTATTTCTTTCATTGTATGTTTTATGATATTTAATTGGATAAAAGAAGTATTCCCATTATTATTATCGTACATTTTGTTTCTTAGCAATAAATTGACGTCTGAGGATAGTACATTTTAAACACATTTCAGTATAATTTATTTTATTAGACACTTTTTTTATCATTTGATTTCTTATTTTGACAAGCGAAAAATAAAATATGTTTCCACAAAACATGACGTAACATGATAAATGATATAATAACGATCAATTATCATAAAATATGGCATAACGCGATATAATAAAATGAACCTCTTTGAGGAAACTTTCATGAGCTTCTTTATCAAATCTGAACAACTCCTTCAATACCATCACTTCGTGGGTCACTTTGTGCATCACCTTTCAAATACAATAGACCTTAAATGAAACGTGCAGGCAAATAACCCAAGAACAACAAACCTTACCATTTATAAAGACCAAACAAACAGTATTAACTAAAAATCAAACCTTAATGACTTGGCCAAAAAATCCCTCTCCTAGCACTTCCCCTCGCACCAGATCAGATGGTCTGAAAATACGATGCACATGCGTCCAATCAGAACTTTTCACTGAATTGCACCTGCTGTACAACACGGTCGACATTGAGGAAGCCGTCTGCTGCTTGCCAACGATCTTCGGCGAGGACATGGAATGTCGATAGTGCAAACTGCATGTTGTATGTACAGCATTTTATGCATATCACAAGTTATGTTGGTGATATATGCTCTTAGTTTATATGTATGTATGTAAATTGTTTGTTTGTTTGCATGTTTGTTTTGTTGTTTAATAGAGAATTTTTTCAATATGTTGAAAATTAGACGTTATAAATATATGTTTCATAGATATAGGATATTGTTTTAAAACATAATTAACACCACCATTGGCGTTTAACAAGCAAATAAACAAAAATCTTGTCATTTATAATAAAAAGTAAAAGATGGATCTCAGGTGAATAAAGACTCTACTAAGACGGAAGAAAAACTGAAAAGAAAAGATGGAAAACGCGCCAAGAAATGGACAGCATAGAATAGACTGAGGTGGAAACGTTATATTGAACAAAAATGATCAAAGGCAGAAAAGAAATTTAAAAATAGATTAGACTCTATTGGTCAAAAAGGTCTTTTAAAAGGTTAAAGATGAGGATCACAGATTGATTGAATGAACAATCACGTTAATTAAGTTATGATCGAATTCACCCAATCAACACAAAGACAAAGGCGTAGACAAGGGGGAACTTTGCCAATGAAAAATTTGGCCAGGGTTAAGACTAATATGAACAAAATCTCTATCAAAATATATAAAAAAAAAATGACGGGAAAACTATGAATTCAGCCCCCACAACAATAACCTTAAGGCTCTGGAGCAACGGCCTTCATGTGGTGGTGCCGATTGGTACAACTGGCTTTCGTCAGCTGCCCCAACAAACCGTTGCAACACCCCCAAAAATCAAAAATGCCTTCTCAACAGCCGTTTTTTCCACTGACGTTTCGGCAGCTGAAAAACTATTACGTCAGATCTTGTCGTCCGCCAGCTCCTTTGGGCAGACGCGTCTACTCGTGACCCGGGCTGTCAAAGGAAATTACGGACCTCATGAACCAACGGGATAGCCTCAGATCCTTAGACCCAACATCAAATGACATCAACTTACTCTTTACCAACATTCAACAAAAAATCACTAGTATAAAGTTGACTCGTTGGAAGGATTTCCTGGGCACATTCAATAAAACTACCAACACAAAACGCCTATGGTCAACTTTCAAGGCCCTCAATGGCAAGCCTAAACAATATCCTAACACTATCATCTTTAACATACCAGTAATCAATAACATACACATGGCTAACCTCTTCAACAAAATTCACTGCCTTTAAAAGACACATCTCTGACAAACGAAACAGAACTACCACAAGAATCGTCAAAAATCTGAATCTTGATGACCATCCATACTTCTCCCCAGAACAGGTATCTAAGGCCATTAAACAATCTACGCCCTTAAAAGCCGCTGGTCCCCGATAACCTATTTTTCAAACACCTAGGACCATTAGGAATCTCCTTCCTAACAAACATTTTCAATAATTCCCTAAGCACATGCAAAATTTCTGACACACAAAAGAGCAAAGATCGCCCCGCTACCAAAACCTGGTGAACCAGACAGCGACTTTAAATTCTATAGACCAATCTCTCTTCTCTGCCCTGTCCTTGAAAAATGCCTTCTATCCATCATAACCCAGCACCTCACCCTAGCGGACCACCAACACGGTTTTCTTCCGAATCAATGAACAACGACAGCACTTACCGCTATCGCCAATGACATCGCTAATGGTCTCAACCAAAAAAAACCAGCCCATATTCTTGCCGCACTAGACCTTTCCAAGGCTTTTGATACGGTTGACCCTGAAACCCTGCTCTCGGATCTTCTCACCTCAAGACTCCCAAGGTCAGTTGTTCGCTGGCTCTCGAATTACCTACACGGACACACTGCTACAACCATTTTCCGACAAGAGCAGTCCAAACAATGAATCATTCGCACTGGTGTGCCCCAGGGATCAATGTTGTCGCTTTCACTTTTCAACTACTACTTCTCAAAAACTCCTGTTCCACCTCCAGACATCAAGATCATTTCCAATGCAAATAATTTCTCCATCTACACCACTGGTCCGGATGCAGCTATTTCGACTCTCTTAACAGCTACAAAGCAAGAATCGACAGTAAAGTCAGCAGTAACTGTCCGTTATGCCGCAAACATCCTGGCGATGTTACCCACCTATTTAGCTGCCCAAACAACCCTACACATCTCACGGTAATAAATCTCTGGCAAAACCCGGTTGCTGTGGCCAACTGTCTCCAGCCCCGTCTGTTCCTCTGGCGATGTTTAAAGCAGGCAACAACAACAAAAACCTTAAGGCAAATTTCACACAAAATTCTGGTTATAATAGCAAAATTTGTTAAAACTTAAGATATGCTACGTAAAAAAAGTCGCCAACCTTTTTCAAACAAATTTTATTAAGCCCCCAAACAAAATTTTTGGCTACGCTAGTGTTGACAGAAAAATAATTTAAAAATTGTAAAAAAAAGTTTAGGGAAACTTAATGACAACCTGGTTGATTTTGGTGATTTAATGCATTCATTTGTGCCGTTCATGATGAAAGAACCAGATGATTCAAGTTTTAGTAAGTGTCGTGATGATGATGACAATGATGACAGAGACGATGATGACGAAGATGACGAAGAAGTTTTTGCACGGAATGAATCATCATAGACATCATCATCATCAACGTTACTGTCGAGTGGATTCAAAACAACTTTTTTTTCTTTTTCATCAACATTACCATTCAGACAATTTTTATTGGAATTGGAAGCATCACTTTCGTCGTGGATGTAATTGAAATTGTTGTTACTGCTCAAGCTACTGGCGGTGACGTTTTTGAGGCTGATGCCCTCACTTTTGTAGTTGTTGTTAATGTTTATTATGTCGTTATTTACGCTATTATTGTTGGCGCTATCGCTCTTAACATGATTACTTTCATCAGAACGTTCAATATTGAGCAGGTTCTTGCAGTTGAGAGCATTCTGGATGTGATTGAATGACTGATTTCTTCGTTTGGCTCTTTTCGTGACCATTCCATTTTTATTGATTTTTTTGCTGTTGGCAGTATTCGTGCAAGTGTTGACTGCCCTGTCGAGAGGGTTGAAGTTGTTGATTTTGATGTTATTGCTAACATTACTACTGTTATTAATACAATCTTCAATACTTTTAGTATTGTTATTGTCATCGTTACCAGCTTCCATATAATTTTTGTTAGTGCCAAGATTATTCTTAATATTAATATTATTATTACTGCTGTTGTTAATATTGCAGTCATTGTTGTTATTATTATTATTATCTTTTAAAAATGAATCATCTACAACAGCATCCTGTTTAGTGATGCTATTTGTTGTTACCCGTCCAATCTGATCTTTAATCAGTTCATTGTTTCTGTTGTTGTGCCGTACGTGAAAGAACGACGGAGTCTCGTTGCTTCTCGCTTTTTGTTTTGCTTTCAGTAAATAACATTGATGAGCTGCATTGTGTGGCTTGTTCTGATGTTGGCAGGATTGCTGGGCTAGGGTATCAGGTTCCTCTGCGACATGACACTTACAGGTGGGAAGCACGTTGATGGCGTTGGGGCTGGGACTGAAGTTGCTGTTGTTGTTCTGAGTTGTCTCAACGTTCCTCAGTGGTGAGTCACCACGCTCCAACGTCACGTACACCTTTTCAAACCTGGTCAGCATCTCTTCAATCTACATCATTTTAATGGTATCTAATCAAGCTATAAAAATACTACCATCATTAAACACACACAATATACATGAAAAAGAAATATATTTGAAAAAAGTACGCTGCACTTTGAACAACATCACGTGACCTGCAATAAAACAAATGCTTGCAAACTAACAGAAATATAACTCTTCATAAAAACAAACAAATGCCATATGCTAACACATGCAACAACACATCCACACAACAGCACATCCACACAACAACACATCCACACAACAACACATCCACACAACAACACATCCACACAACAACACATCAAACAAAAAAAAATAACATCATGCAAGAAATAGTTTCACAAAGGTAAACCAACATACCAACATGCATAAGAAACATGACCAACAAAAACACCCAACACACTAGCAACAAAACAGAACAGCATCAATTTTGTGACACACAAAGGGAAGTAGGGGAGCAGAGAATAAAAAGTAACCTTTTGTATGGAATGTTCTTGCACTGGCTCCCCGTTGACTTCAATAATTTTGTCACCAGTTAGAAACGTCTTGTTGTAGTGAGGCATTGACGGAGATGTCCTTCAGATATGAATCATCATTTGTATCAATCTTCCTATTTATTTTCTATAATTTATAATTCTTTTTATGTAAATATTTTACACAAGTTTAATCTTATCCTACAATTAAATACATACTTACATACACATGAGCATAATCTCACACATACATATTTGCATGCACCCATACTTGCAGGCATACATGTTTCACATAACATTAACAGCATATATATATATATCTACAGCTACGCTCATACAATAATTATAACACATACACACACGAACGAACAAACCAACCCAACAACTTGTAAATATGGCTTCTCACAAACTTCATTGTCATTGCCTAAACTCAGTTTCTTCTTCAAATTAAGTTCAACGGCTAGCAGTGATGATGATAATGAAGAGGATAGTGAGGATGGTGATGAGGACGAAGAAGACAACTTTGAACTGGTATGAATTGCAGATGATGAAAATGATGATGACGACGACGGCGATGAAGATGTTGACGACGACGATGATAACAAAGATGATGGTGTTGATATTGTTGTTGATAATGACGATGAAGATGGTGCCTTAATTTGAGGTCTGCTGGGTAATTCAACAATTTTAATCACGTGTTTCAGCAACTTTTTGACGGGTGAAAACTTGCCAGCATTGCAACTGGATTGGTTGGGTCTGCATGTGATGGAGCTGCTTGAAGACTTCCCATGCACTTGTTCACGTACATCGTAGGAATTCACGTGCGTATTAACATTGTCAACGTGCATGCGTGTATGAATGTCATCGGCGTTCAGTAACTCTCTCTCTTTCTTCTCACTGCACGGACCACTGTCAGTGAAGAAATACATTCAACATGGATCATGAGATTGAAGACAATTCTTAACAACAACACATGGGACTACAATCCCAAACGCCTCAATGTCTTTCCATATCAATTGACAAAACACCTAATTAACGTATAAGTATAAATGAAACACCACCATATGAGTTGAGCAACAATTAAAACCGCTAATGATGGAATTACAATTTGTGAATAGAGAAGAAGGGTTATTATGAAAGCTGAGTGAGATGATAAATGATAATTAATGTCAATAATAAAATGTATTGAAGATTATACTGTAGATTATTTAGTTGTGAGTGACCAGAAAAAAATTATATCGATTATGATATGTGTTTGTATATAAGTATGTTCATATGTGTATGTGTATGCGTGTATGTCTGTATTTTTTGTATCTTTGTATATCAATATGTGTATGCATGTATGTATGAAGTGTGTTCATTTTAAAACAAACGCATGCATACACACGTGTGTGTGTATGCATGCGATCCGATAATCTGATATAACAATAATTTCCAGCCTGCAAGCGATCTAGGACCCTAATTACAAATGATTCAACGTGCAAAATATTTAAATCCTGTTACCAATGTTACATCGCCTTAAAACATTTTTTGCGTAGTTTCTCGAAGAAAGCAATTTATCCAGATTTAATTAGGAAACATTTGATGAAAAATTCCTCGCAAATAAATTTTAAAACGTTCAGAATTCATTAAAAAATGCATGTATGCGTGTACGATGTAGGTAGGTACGTGCGTATGTTTAATACACGTACATTATGTATGAATTATATATTTATATATGTATGCAAGTCTATTATGCTCAGATATTGTAAGCCAATTGAATTCTCAAAGAATTTACTGGAAGTCAATATCAGAAAATGATTATGATGATAATTAAGTTAAGAAATATTAGATAAGAATTTATTCATGATGAATAAAAAAATTTGCCAGTGACGAAGATGATGACAATCGTAAGGAAACAATAAATGATAATAATAATCATCATTGTTAATAATAATAATTATAATGATTATGAGCTTGAAAAATCACTGAACATTGCAAACTAATTTAGTAATGACAGGCAAATGGAGTTTGGCCTGGCTGGATGAGTGTGCTAAAGTTTTTCTAAAAAAGGTAAAATAGTAGAAAAAGAAAATATCACAACGAATGATAGTACAATTATGAGAGAACTTGAAGAACAAGGGTTATACAAGTATCTAGGCCTCGATGAAACCAGTCAGTTAAAGCATCAAGAAGTGTGTAATAAAGTAAGCAAAGAATGCTTCAGTGAGAGAAATACTGACAAGTGAATTAAATGATAAAAATAAGATACAAGCTATAAAAAGTACGGCTCTTCCTGTCCTGCAGTACAGTTTCAGTATTGTCTAATGGTCAAAAAAAGCTCTAAAAAATTAGATAAAAAAAAAACCAAGTATAGAAAGACTATCTCCCAAGGAAGGAAGGTGGTGACTCACTGACATAAAGACTGCCTATAAATTAGCAGTCATCCATCTAGGTTCATATCTAAAATCAAACGAAGATAAATACGTGAAACAAATTGAGCACGCAAAAACAACAGAACAATGTATTCCATTACTAATATGTACAGAAAATAATCAAATGTGAAAATAAAGAGAAAATTAAAAATGAAATGATCATAGAAAAACTTCAGCTTTAGCATAACATAACAAGGATTATAATAGTTCAGTAGATATCTCTGTGTGAGAACCCCTGGATCGATTTTGACTAATAATATGAATTTAAAATCCCAATCTTCCAAGTCTGACTTTGAACTACCGCGTTGTAGAAGCTGTTAAGTTTTTTCGTCCAGCTTATTCCAATGTTCAATAACGCTTGAACTGAAAAACTTTCCTTTAATTGTTCCTACCTTTTCTTTGAAAAACTTGTACTGGTGCCCTCTTGTGTAAATTTTCTGTAAATTGAAAGAATATGGATGAATCTATCTGATCTTTACCCGTTATGATTTTGTACGCATGAATAAGATCTTCTCCAGTCCTACGTTTGTCCAAATTTGTCAGTCCACATCTCTTCAATCTTTCCTCATATGAAAGTCTTTCACAATTGTTAATCATCCAAGTTGCCCATCTTTAAACTTTTTCCGACACTTCTTTGTCTGTTTGCCAGTGAGAGCTCCATGCCTGTATGCAGTATTCCAATTAGGTCGCACTAACGTTTTATATAGATGTAACATTTATTGATTTATCTCTGTTAATGATCGTCTTTTTTTATGTTGTTGTCTGTCGTCCTTTTTTTATCATGTCAAGCGTATTGTTTGCTCTTTTTGTAGCTTCTATGCATTGCCTGGTACGTTCCCCACTTTTGTCTACAATTATTCCAAGGTCCCTTTCTTCTGATGAAACCTTTAGATGTGTGTGTGTCTCCAAATTTGAATAAATTTTAATATATTTTGGTTGCTTTTTACTGCCATGTAAATGACGGAGCATTTATATTAGTAAGCAAAAACCACTTAATAGTCTGTTTATAAACAATCAATCAATCTTCGTTTAGCATCCAGAGACTCAGTTCCCTGAGGTAGGACGTTGTTTTCTTTGCCATCAATTTTTTGCGCCAAATTAGACGATCAGTTGTATCCATTTCATTTAAATTTAGAGCTTTCATGTCTTGCTCGATTGATTGCGACCAGGATTTCTTATGCACGAGTCTCTGGACGCTAAACGATGATTGATTGATTGTTATGTGGGATTACCCAATAAATACCGACTGAAACATCAAAGATGACCAGATATTGTCACTATGATAAAAACAAACAATGCCAACTAATTAATATTGATGCAATATTTGATCAAATCTACGAAATTTTTAGCTGTTGAAAGTTTAAAATTGAGCTTTTCAATATTTTTAACAGAATTTTTTTTTAATTATTATCTAATTTATTAAAATTAATAAGAAAATCGTTGGTGTTGATGGTGAAGCGTATAGGCCATATTTCGATTTTGCTCATCATAAGTGCTCATCATAAGTGCTTATATTGGGATATTTCAAGGTTTTACAATTCTCTGTAAGTACAAAGTGCTTTTATTCTGCTTTGTCCAGTCCATTTTATATCTTTGTTCTGTTCATTCTCTTTGCTTGTAGTCTTTCAATAATATTCTTCTGGTCGGTAATGAAGTTGCTATTCTTTGCTGCTTGCTAATTTGCGGTTTTCTCTCGTCAATAAGGATTGCTTCAGCAATTTTTAGATGGTTGTGGTTCTTGTTACCGTATATTAATATAATATAATAATATAATTGATATTGCTATACCAGTAGATCAGAATGTAGCAATAAAAGAGACTGAAAAAATGGGGAAATATAAAGATCTAGAAACAGAAATTTTCTGGATGTGAAAATGTAAAACATTAGTAATACAAGTTGAACCTCTCAAAAAAATTCCTGCTGACATCAGCTTCTACGTACTCCAAGAAACAGCTATTTTTGAAACTGCTAATATTGTCAAAAAGTTTTTAGGCACAAAATAGAAACAAGCCTAGATTACTTGTTGTAATCAGTACATTACTAAGAACATTAGAGGAATAAATAAAAATAATAGTAGTAGTAGTTGTTGTTGTTGTAGCAGTAGGAGTAGTAGTAACAGTAATAACGATGATAACGATGATTATCATCACAGTCATCATCATAATCATCATCGTAATCATCATCAACATCATCATCATGAAGATCACATGAACATCATAAAGTAACAATTACAACACAATTATGGTGGCAATAGTGTTCCAACTAATCATAACATCATGAATCATTATATTGTTTTGTCACTAAGTTTTGTAATTTTATTATATTATGTAATGGCACTTAATTATCTGCATTCATTTACATTCATTCTGACAACAAAGTTTTGAAAATTATAACAAAAAACAAAGCTGTTTATTTTTATATCAGAATATGTTATATAGAAATACTATTAATTTAGAAATCTTGTCTAGAATAACAATAGACTACAATGGATTAACCAGTAGAGCATGGATCTTTCGATGAGCACGTACGCCTCCCCGTCCTCGAGCAGGGTGCCGCAGCTGATGCAGTTGAAACATTCCGGGTGGTACATGTGCTCACCCACCACCTGCATAACATTTTTCAGATATTCGTGCAGATCTGATTCAAACAACTACATTTTAATACATGAAACTAATATTATAAAAAATATTCAAAAATTGAAACATTGTTAAAATAACAAAACCACCATAAATTTACCGATGAAGACTCAATTATCTCTAATTGACAAAAATTTCATTATTAAAAATCTTGAGGCTCAATTCAACCAGCAGCCACCAACCATAACAGGCCCAGAAACTAGATGGAGGCAGTTGTTGCAAACATCCTGGAAGTTGATCCTGTAGTGCTCCTTACAATACAACACGTTGTTCTTCTCAAAGTACCAGGTTGTCAGGTGCGCTTCACATATGCTACATCTGCTTGGAAATAAAAGCTGTGGCATGAATTTATGAGATTATAAAACAAAACAATAGCTCAAGGGCTTTGCAAATTTAAAAAAACAAAAACAAAAAGAAAAACTTCAATGTATGACAATATTTCAAGACAGTAACAAAGAAAAAATGTTTGAAAACATCCAAAAGTTGCACACATCCAAAACACACAAACATCCAAAACAGGCATGCATATCACACCTCAAACAACCACCAAAAGTGAAAAAATAGTGACTTGAAGCACTTTTGATGCCATCTCTTGCCCAGAGCTTCAATGCAAGGCAGATTACAAGCTGACAATCCACACGAGGAACAGATATTTGGGACTAAATGTTCGGTTTGAAAATATTTCAATTTTATAGTATTTAGTACATATGGGCTATCAACATGAGAAATTCTTTAATAAAAAATGCAGTTGCAATAACAGGCAGTTGCAATGAGTGAAGTACAATAAGCGCTGACTGAATTTTTAAAAAAAGATGACAATTTAGTTTTATTTTATTGTAAAAATATAAATATTAGTAAAAATTAATAATTAATAATCAATAACTAGTTTTGTATGGTTATTTATGTAAATTATCCTCTGAAAAATGTTTGAGAATGAATTTAAATAAATAAATAAAATTAAAAATACTTAATACTCAGTTATATTTTTAATTATAATTTAGCCTACATGTTATTAAGAAAGTTAACCTCATATAAAATAATGAACATGCATGTGAATCATAAGCTTAATTGTTTAGTGTGAATAATATAAAAGTATTTCTCTCAAAATAATAAGTAATGAATGAGTTATGCAAGTTTAAATGAAAATTCCAATGGCCAGAGAGAGCGAGAAAGAAAAATCGTGTATTTTGTAGTATAGGCAATGATCGCCAGTTGATTGACAATTTTATTCAAATTTTGAATTTAAATAAAACACCAAAAAACTGTGAATTTTTTTTACAAATGAACAAACTCATGTTCAATTTAAAAAGAAAAAAATGCCTTGAATGTTTTAACTGAAAGAAAAGAGGCTTTGAAAGTTTTAATAGAAAAAGGAACCTTAGTAACAATAAATAATATGTAGTTTATATAGCAGCACCCATTCAAGTCCTCATGAACGCTTTAAGCTTTTCGTGCCATAAAGACTGAACTTCTCTGCACCAGACGATGTACGTGCACATTATGAATGCATGCACAAGTTTTGACTGGAGGGAGAGAGGCATTGAAAATTTTAATTGGAAAAAAAGAGGGCTTGAAAGTTTTAACTGAAAGAAAAGATGTTTTTAAAGTTTTAACTGGAGAAAAAGAGGTGTCAAAAGCAGAGTGTCAGAGTCGGAGATTTTGGTTAGAGTCAGAATCAGATTTTTTTACCCAACTCTAACTCCGGAACATGTTATCTATTTTAAAAAAAATTTTTCTGAAAATTTTTTTAAGATTTTGTTTTTTAGAAGATAAATATATATAGTTATAAATAATCATCTTAAACAGTGAAAATAAATGCCAATAATAAAAAAATCACATAATTTTTTATCAGTATGTTGTAAAACCTAAAAATAAAGTAATTTTACTAAAAAAAACAATTACATTGACTGATTTTAAGTGTTTTTTAAATATTTTTTATTTAGAAGTGATAATAAGCTGAAATTATGACACAAAAGTTTAAGAATTTTTCTGGAATTTGCAAACCGGAGTCGAAAATTTTTTCCCCAAAGTTAGAGTTGGATTTTTTGAGGGACCAGAGCCGAATTCCGACACACTGTTCGAAAGTTTCAACTGAAAAAAAAGAGACCTCGAAAGTTTCAACTAAAAAACAGATGCCTTGAAGGTTTCAACTGAAGAAAAAAGAGGCTTAAATGTTTTTACTGTAAAAAAAAAACCCTTGAAAGTTTTAAATAAAGAAAAAAAGGCCTTGAAAGTTTTAAATGAAGGAAAAGAAGCCTTGAAAGCTTCAACTGAAAGAAAAAAGACAGCTAAAGTTTTGACAGTAGAAATAGAAGCTTTGAAAGTTTTGATTAAAGGAAGAAACCTTGAAAGTTTTAACTTTAGGAAAAGTTTCACCTGAAGAGAAAGAGGCTTGAAAGTTTAAACTGTAGAAAAAAAGCCTTGAAAGTATTAACTGAAGAAAAAGAGAAAAAGAAGCCTTAAAAGTTTCAACTGAAAAAAGAGGCCTTCAAAGTTTTAACTGAAGAAAAAGAGGCCTTAAAAGTTTTAACTGATGAAAAAGATGTCTTGAATGTTTTAATGAAAAAAAAAGAGGCCTTGGTCCTGAAGGTTTTAATTGAAGGAAAAAAGGTTTTGAAAGTTTTGACTGAAGTAAAAGAAGCCTTGAAAGTTTTAACTAAAGGAAAAAAGGCTTTAAAAAATTTTAGTCTTTCTTTTGTTTAGGTTTTAAATAGATTAAACAATAAAAGCCTTGAAAGTTTCAACTGAAAGAAAAGAGGCCTTGAAAGTTTCAACAAGAAAAAATTGAGACCTTAGAAATTTTAAATGTAGGGAGAGGCCTTAAAAATTTTAAGTCCTCCTTTCCTTCATGTTTATTAAATAAAACTTCTTTATAGTTAAATGAAAAGCTAAGCTTAGAAATTAAATAAAATCATAGAGAAGTGTCCAGCTTAGAAAAGGATTTTAATCAGATTCAATTTCAATAGAATGAATAGTAACAGGTCGATAAATGGAATAAATGAATGAAATGGATGGATGGATGATTGAATGAATGGATATATGGAAAATCTAATGCTAACTTAGCTAGAGAGAACTCTGACACATTACAGTTTAATTTTACATAACATAACTTCTTAACTATATTATAATTATAATATTAAATATACATCAATTATATTATTGCCTGAATTTAGCATTTAACAAGTTTTAAAATTAAAATAAATAGTTATAACAATTAATTTATTAAATTAATAATTAATTAATATTAAATAAGCTAAATTTTATAATTTAATTAATTATAATAAATATTTATATTTTATTATTAATAAATAGAATAAATAATGTTTAATCAATAACTTTAAGTATAAATTATTATATAATAAATGTAACACTAATAAAAAATAACGAATAAATAAAATATAAAATAAAAATATATTAAAAAATTAATAAAAATAAAAATTATATTAAATAACAATACCTGAGCCTCGAAGTTTGGAAATTCCTTTCATCATCTTTCAGGCAAGTTTTACTACAATTGAAGAATAATAAATTGATTTGTTCATTTGTACGAATATCGAGACATTATCATTTTCAAACCATCAAAAAGCTTTGGTCGGTACAAAACTACCAAACCAACTTTACAGATCAAACGTAAGTTAGCACTGGCACTTAATTCTGTTATTATGGTTTGTCAAAGTAAAGTAAATTATTTTATTCTATGTATATGCTAGACATCATATATATATATATATATATATATATATATATATCAATTAGCTTAAAAAGCGCTATTTCCGCGATGTTCAACAGCGCTTCTCAATGAATTTTGAAAACAGATGAGTCTTGAGATCCGCTCTGAACTTCGCAAGTGATGCAGAAGTAGTCAGAGAAGTAGGTAGAGAGTTCCAGAGAAAAGGACCAGAAAAAGCAAAAGCAGATTTGGCAAAAGAGTGTTTAACACGAGTTAAGAAAAAGCGAGAAGAAGACGATCGTAAACCGGGGCGTTTAGGTTCAATTAATATATCTGATAAATACTTAGAAAATAATTTAGATTGAGACTTATACATGAACGGGCAAATTTTAAAAATTATTCTATATTTTATAGGTAGCCAGTGCAAGAGAACAAGATCAATCAATCAATCAATCAATCAATTAGCTTATAAAGCGCTATTTCCGCGATGTTCACAGCGCTCCTCAATGAATTTTGAAAACAGATGGGTCTTGAGATCCGCTCTGAACTTCGCAAGTGATGGAGAAATAGTTAGAGAAGTAGGTAGAGAGTTCCAGAGAAAAGGACTAGAAAAAGCAAAAGCAGATTTGGCAAAAGAGTGTTTAACACGAGTTAAGAAAAAGCGAGAAGAAGAAGACGATCGTTAACCGGGGCGTTTAGGTTCAATTAATATATCTGATAAGTACTTAGGAAATAATTTAGATTGAGATTTATACATGAACGTGCAAATTTTAAAAATTATTCTATATTTTATAGGTAGCCAGTGCAAGAGAACAAGATATGGAGATATATGAGAAAAGAAAGGGGCACGAGCAACTATACGAGCAGCAGAGTTAAAAGCTTTACTTAAAGGATAGAGTATAGAGTCAGGAAGACCATAGTAGAGCGAGTTACAATAATCAATCCTAGATAAGACTAACGAAGTAACAAGAAGGAGAAGATACGGAGACATGTGAGAAAAGATAGACTATAAACTATTCAATTTTATTGGCTTAATGTATTAATGTAGATCTTAAAAAAAATTATTCTGGCAATTACAGAAAATCAACGTTTGCATTGTCTAATGGAAGGTTTAAATAAAATCTGAAAATTAAGTATAAATTAGGAAATGTTGCAATAATATTATTTTATTTATGAAAAACATACCACATAAATAAATAGTATTTTCATTACTTGGAAAAGTCATTAATTGTAAAACTTAATTTGTCGGTTCTGCTAGTTTTAAATCTTGTTCATAACATTTTAAGTTTACTATTGAAGAATCACTGACATTTTTGTCATGAACAATTGTTTTGAATTTATTATTAATAGTTTTATATCTCTCAGATCTTTTATAATGTTACTAATTAAAGAATCGTATACAACAACAAATTACTTAAAATGTTCTTTGCCACTGCTTCTTATTTCCTGTTCTGGAATTTCATCATCAAATAGTTATCCTATTTTCAGCCGTTTTTCATAGTTAATACTGCAATATCATTAACTTTTTCTTCTTTTTATAAATTGTTAAAGATGGAGATATATGAGAAAAGAAAGGGGCACGAGCAACTAGACGAGCAGCAGAGTTAAAAGCTTTACAGAGTATAGCTTAGAGTATAGAGTCAGGAAGACCATAGTAGAGCGAGTTACAATAATCAATCCTAGATAA